GGGGGGGGGCTGGGGCTTGTTGCATTCCTCTCCTGTTTCTATTCTGCCTGTGGGGTTTTCATGTGTTTTTTTTTTCATAATTATTTTTAATATTTTATCGTACCAATTTTAACAGATGTCCCGAAGAACATACCAACGGCTTTTACCCATCAACAAATGCACGCAGTGGCTGTTCTAAAACGTCGCTAGATCGCAGGAAATATCGGCAGTACCTGGGCTACCAACCGGGCCGCTCGGTTGCCCGGGCTGCCAGGGTGGGCAAGGGCCACAGAAGGTCCCTGTCAAAAAGAAAAAAGGAAAAAAGGAAAGGTTTAAAAAACTGTGTTATGTAGAATAACAAACTGGTCCAGAATAATGAACTGAACAAGTTTTTTTAAGTTTTTTAAGGGGTTTTTTTTTTTTTTTTTTTTTTTTTTCCCGAACAAGGCTTATTCCATTTATAGCAAGTCAACGGGTCCGGCATCCCTCTCATATTTTGCAGCCATGTGGGGCCGGGCAAGGCCCTCTTGGCCAAACCCACCATCCCCACCTGCCGATCAAACACTCAGCCCTATTCAACGTTATCTGGCCCCACCAACTCCACAGCCAACTCCCCAGCTGGGCCTGTGCCTAAGGTTTTTAATACTTTTATGATTTGTATCCCATGTCCCTTAATGCTAATCACAACAATATCCTCCTCCTATTCTTATTGTACAAATTTGCTACCAACCTAGGCTTCATTTCCGTGCGCTCGCACACCCACCTGCCCCCCCCGCTGGACGCATACGGATGCTTGCAGAGGGTCATCGCCAAGAAAAAAGAAGAAAACAAGCTTTTTTAAAATTTCCGTGCGCAGCAGAGGCCCATCACAAAGCGAAAAAAAAAAAAAAAAAGGACTTGCACGGGTCACCCGTGCAGACACCCAGCCGTGCAGGCTGCAGGGATGCACGGCCGTGCCGGCCCAGCCGGGCGGCTCGGGAAGCCTAGCTACCAACTAACAATCGTAGTTAACAAAAGGAAAAACCAAGCCTTATAACTACGAACGAACAGCCGTAATTAAGAAGCGGAAAAAAAACAAGTCTACAAGCAAACCATTCATCGGCATAGTGTGCAGAAGGAACATTGCCGTCGCCATTGCAAGAGAGTTGATCGAAGCGTCCAGCAACACAAGCAGAACAGGACTCCCCATGTCGCGCTCTCCGCAGAAACAAGAGAGCCGAACAGCCGAATCGATATCTTCAAACAAGATTGATTTCCTCCTGCGAAAAGTGTATCTGGCCTCGAAGCTGCACAAAATACGGCTATAATGATCAGGAATTGTGTTCGGGAGAAGAAGGGAGGCAACATTTCTTACAGGTACTCTCCGTACGCAAGCAGCAGTGCTGGTGTGTGTGAGAGAGAGAGAGAGAGAGAGAGAGAGAGAGAGAGAGAGAGAGAGAGAGAGAGAGAGAGAGAGAGAGTCTCTCCCGATGTCAGAATTCGTTAGCTCTTCAGGACCAAGAGACCCAGCAATCAGTCCAGCAGTGCGGTGGCCTTCGCTCTTGTCCGACAATGTCAAGGCTTTCTTGTTTTTTTTTTTTTGGAGTGATGGGTTGAGGTCAGGGTCACATTGAAGTTCTTTACCATTTTTTTTATTTTTTATTTTTATTTTTTTTGGCCCAGCCGGGCAAGTGGTCCCGGGCCACTGTGGTAGCCTAGTTTATTTATTTATTTATGTATTTATTTATTTTTATGGATTTCTCTCTTTATTTTGCTTTGATGGGTTGAGGTCCTCCTTGTTTGCATTTGATTTTTATGTTTTTTCGGGTTTCCTTTTTTTTGTTTTTTTGGTTGCTGAGACTGGCAGCTAACGGAGCCAATTACGAGGAAATCTCATCGCGTTTTCGACCCTTTCCTCTGGGAACCGCCAGGGGTGTGCCGAGTGCCGCAGGTAGTGGTCATCCTTTATCGCCCACGGTGAAGCTGAATCAGTCTGCTAGCGGAAGTCCAAGAGGAGGGGGAGGAGGAGTGGGGGGAAGAGGGTGTCGTGTGCCTGTACGACTGTATATAAGGACGTATGGGCGTAAAGGAGGCGGCGGCGACGGAGGAGGACGAGGAGGAGGCAATGCCGAGGTAGAGGATGATCTGGGCTGTATATCGCAATGGGAGGAAGTGGTTTATGCAACCCGTCCCGTTGAGATCCCAACAGAAAAAGGTGAGCTCCACCCAGGCCTGTCCAACCAAGGTTTTTTTTTTTTTTTTTTTTTTTTTTTTTTTTTTTTTTTTTTTTTTTTTTTTTTTTTTTTTTTTTTTTTTTTTTTTTTTTGTTGTTGTTGGAAGTTTTTTTTTTTTGTTCTTCAGACTCCTGTTTTCTTTTCTTTTTTTAATATAATCATTGTGTCTTGAACATTTTCTCTTCATGTTTGGTAAAGTATCTCTCTTCGGAAGTGGGGAGGTGTGAACCTGCAAGATATACATATCGACCCTTACACGGTCCACGGGCAGCGGAGTGCCGGTGAAAAGCAGATCGAACAGGTCGTCAACTTCATCCATGAAGGGAGCAGTTGCATCGTGTTCCAAGCAAGGGGTTATTGATTTTGCCCTCGAGTTGCGAGAGAGTTTACAAGCGAAGCAAGCACCGGAGCTCAAGCTAATGTGTAAGAGGAAGAACATCAGGTCGGTGTCGAAGGCACAGGCGGTTAAAGACCTGGCGGCAGCAGAGACTAGGGAGGCATACGATGGTTGGCTTACCGGGGTAGATGGCGCCGAGGGTGGGAAGGAAGACAGGAGGCCGGATGGAGAAGTGGCACCTCATGCAGATTGACGGTGCACTCCCCCAGCGCGGTATCTCTGGGGTAAGCTCCTCATGTACATGGGGCTTCGAGAGTGCATCTGGGGAACGTATGGCTTGACGAATCTTAGGATCAGCATTGAGCAGCTTCTCATTGCGACTTTTCTTTTGCTGGTGATGAGCGGGGTGGCTCCTTGGGCAAAAAAGTTGCTTACGGTGACCCCGACGAGCCATGACTTTTTCGATCTGAGGGGTCCGGCGGTGTACTGTTTGGTATCACCTTGGTGCAAAAGGTTGTACATTGGCCAGTCTGTCAGAGGAGCTGGTGAGAGGTGGTGGGAGCATATTCGGTGCACGGAGTCGGGCAATAACGGCCACGCCCCCAAGCTGTATTCTTTCTTAAAGGTCTTTGGCTGGCAGAAGTATCTGGTCCTCCCGATAGCAACAGGGGCGAGAAACGGCCTGCAGATGCTAGAGAGGACACTTATCTGCAGATTTTCTCCGGCACTCAATGTGGTAGGCCGGAGTGCAGGGTCGAAACGGAAGGCTAGGCCAGGTAAGAAGGAGAGGCAGAGGGTGGAGGCGCGAGTCCCAGCACGAAGGAGGGGGCTGCTGTCCTTCACTTTAGTGGAGCAGGGGAAGCAGTACTTTAGCTTAGTAGAGCTGTTGGAGGACACTTATGAAGCAGGGATAAGGGTGGTGAGGCTTGAGTCGTCCGGCGGTGACGTGTGGGGAGAGAAGTGGTCGATTGTCCGAAGGAAGTTTGGTACGTCGACAGTTCTCGTTAAGGAAGTGAAGATGCTGTTGGGGAGGGCTAAGCAGCACCTTGAGAAAGGAGGCAGATTCAGAGTGGCAGCGGTAGTGAAGACCGAGAGTGCACGATGCAGAGGGAAAGGGTATCTTAGGCAGCTGCTTGAGATGCCGAGGAAGCAAGCTGAGCTTAAGTATTTTGGCGTTTCAAAGCTGGTCTTTTTGTATCGGTGTGCTAGGGAATTCAAGACCAAGGCCACTCGGAGGACCCTGAAGGAGAAGATAGCGTCGGTGATCAGGAAAACGACGGGGTTGAATATCAGGTTGAAGATCAGTGTGGGCGTGAAGTATAGCCATAGGCTCAGGAAGAGGAAGATCCATGACACAGTGGTGTTGTGTGTGGGGAAGCGCAAGATCCACCCCGTGCTGAAGACGGTGCTGCAGCGCCGCGTGAGGGTGGTGTGGAAGAAGAATAACACGGTTGAGCAGGTTCTCATCAACCATAGGGAGGCAGCAAGAGAGGGTGTATGACGATGTACGTGTGGCCAGGATCAGTTACCGAGAGAAGAAGGACATGTGTTGGCTCGAGTCGCGCAATGCTCAGTGATTCCCCCATTTCTGCACAATGGGAAGAATGTGCTGCAAAGCGATGGTGGGACAAGACCGTCTGAGGTACAGCAGGCTATTGGACGGTCCTTGGGGGCAGTCATGGGTAGAGGTTTGTACGAGGTAGCAGACCTGAGTGATTTACAAGAGATAGTCTCAGACCGAGCAGAGGTCAGGACTGCTGTCTCTGAGAAGCAAGCGAAGGAGTTAGCGGCAAAGCTGAGTCACCTGGTTGTAGTCCCGGTAGACAGGAACCCGGGTGACCTGGTGGTCATGTGCCCCTCAACGTATTACCATGGCCTCCAGATGATGTTCATTCTTAATGTCGCGTACCAGCGAGAGTCGAGTATGACTGAGGATGAGGTGCTTGCTCAGGTGAAGACGGAGTACAAAAAATTGGCCCTTGACAAGGTGGGCGCCTGGAACCCGGCGGCCAAGCTTGTGAAGGCGTATGTCCTACCGAAGCATAAGGATCTGACAAGGTGGAGGCCGATCGCACCGGCGAATGCGGAATTCTCAAGGACAGCGGGGAGGAGGCTAGCCCGGGCGCTGAACTTCCTACTTGAAAGGGTCCCTAATGTCAAGCACTTTAATCTGAAGGCCTCGGCGTTGCTGAAGCAGAACTTGGAGGGTGCAGGAATAAAGATTAGTCTGTTTGGTGGGAGGTCGACAGCACTGATGGCTAGCTATGACATTAAGGAGATGTTCACGTCGCTGCCGCACGGTGCAATTGAGCGAGCTGTTGATTGGCTGCTGAGACAATGGGAATTAACAGGGCTGTTCAAGCTGAGCCTGAGCAGACGTGGTAGGATTGTATCCCTGAGTAGTAGAAGCCCTGGGCCAGGCTATGTTACAATTAAGCTCTCCCAGATCCGTCAGATGGTTGGTTATGAATTGAGAAATACGTTCATCACATGTGCGAAGACGGTTCTCAGGCAAGTTGTGGGTATCCCCATGGGGAAGAACTCCAGCCCCTCCCTAGCATGCATATTGTGCGCAAAGCAAGAGGTGGACTTCTTGAGCTCTCTAGGGGCGAATCAGAGGCTGGTACATGGGGTCAGGCTGGTAGATGACGTCACACTGGCAGTTGCTTGTGACATGGGTGACCTTCGGAGTGTGGCGACGGCAAGGAGAGTGTGTCAGAAGTTTGAGAAGGTGTACGGCGAGCAGCTTACGCTCGTGAGGACAGACGACGGGTCCAACTCTTGGGACTTTTTGGGGACCAGGGCTGCAGCTTTGCCAGGTCCGATCACGTTTGTGATCCGCCCCAAGCATAAGAATGAGGGGGCCAAGTTGGAAGACCCCCTAGTCTTTAGATGCTTCCAGGACTTCGCTTCATATTCTGATAAGCGTGTGAAGGCGGGGACAGTGATTGCGGCGCTGCACAGGATCAGGCATCATGCCAGTGACCCAGCAACAGGAGTCCCAGCAACGCTTTCCATCAGTATATAGCTCGGGCGCCGGGGTTATCCCCCGGTGCTCTTTTCCAATGCTCTGGCGGTATTTGCCAGAGCCACCGGCCCGTTCGGGGCAGCGTTAAAGGCGCTGACCGAGCGGCCGGTAAGGTTACTTAGTGACAATCTATCGGGAGGCAGGGACGAAGGAGAGCATGTTACAGGAGCCTGTGCACAGAAAGGAGAGCAAGCTGTGGGAGCCCGTGCACAGTAGGAAATGTAGGTAGGAAGGGAACAAAGGTAGATACCCGGTCTAACTGCGTACAACCGGGCTGTACATTAGGTGAGCATGGGAGCAGAGAGCGGGGGGTGGAGGCAAAGGGAGCGGTGCAGGGAAGGGGACAGAGAGAGGAGATTAGCCCGGGGCAGACCGGGGTACATTAGATAGAATAGGGGAATCCCGGGTCTGGGTGACGACAACCGGGTTGTACAATAGTGCCATCGAGGAGCTGGGCCTGGGTAGTAGGGTGGGCAGGAGGCAGGGAAAAGCAGGTAGGAGGGAAAGGGGGTAAACAGTGCGGACAGGGAGAAGGGGCGAGGTAAGGAGGCACGTGAAGGTGCTGGATGTGCGGGGGGAGGGTATTTTTAAAAAAAAAGGGGGTGGGTGGGATCCAGAATGGAGTCGCGGGGGCCAGTAGTGTCGGAACCGGTTAAGTAGAGTAGACGTTCCAGACCAGCATGTACCAATCGCGAAAAACGGGCCTGGTGCAGAGGGGGGTGTAGCCGGAGTATCCAGAGTACACGTCGATTTGTAACAACCTGGCGCAACGGGAGGCACACAGGGGTTGGCGGGAAAGTGGGGTGAACGTACGGGCTTGCCAGGTCGGTTGCATACGAGCTGAGTCGGCGTCCGCCCAGTCAGTTGCGGACGTGGAGTGAGTGTCAGTATTTCTTCAGAGGGCAAGGCCAGAATGGCCCTCTTTGCTCTGGGTGGCGTAGCACGGTGGATGCGGGAAAGTGGTTGCCCCTTGATAAGTCCTGGTGCGCAGCCAGGCGAAACGCGTCGGGGAATGTGCGTGTTGAGCATATTGTCCGTGCAGGAGCTTGTTGAACTTTGTTGAGACATGGACGCATAGCGATTGGCCTCGCTATTTCACTTCACTTCACTTTTCTTGACTTCTGTTTTTTTTTCCTTTTCTTTTGGACTTCTTTTTTCTTTGTATTGAATGTATTCTTCCTTTTTTTTGTTTTTCCTTGGTATTTTTGGTAACTGGTAGTATATCTGGTGTCCCACTTGTGTTCCGGCGCATGCAGGTCAGGAGTACACTCTTGGCGACGCGTTGCGGCGGTTTGTCCCACAGCTTTTTGAGCCTGCAGATGAACAATCAGGCAATAGCGTAACTGTGCGTAGCGCCCGAGACGGATTCGCAGCAGACAGCCCACGGAGGAGAAGCAGCGAGACGGAGGAGAGAGACACAGGGGAGGAACATCCTTCCAAGATCGTGTCCAAGGAAGCAGTAGCGAATGAAGAGGATGGGCGAGCTTTTCCTAGCATAGGAGACGAAGATGTTCCCAGTGGCGGTCAAGATTCCGGGACCACCTCGCAGCAAGAAGGAGAGAGGGGTGACGCGGGAGACAATGTCACCCCCACCCCCGCCGCCATCGCTGCCCAAATGGGTGAGCCATCCACAGCTGGAGACAGGAAGGCAAAGGTCGTCAACGGAACCGTCAGGATCCAGGGACTGGATGTGGGAATCGATTTGCCCCTCGAGTGGTTGAGTAGGATTTTTTGTGGTCCCGATCAGATTCTCCATGTGTGTATCTTCTTGAGGCGAAAGCTATAGTACGCTCTTCAAAAAAAAAAAAAAAAAAAAAAAAAAAAAAAAAACGTA